TGGGTGGCTCAGTCAGTTGAATGCCCGACTTCAGCTCAGGTCAGGCGATGATCTCACAGTTCTTGAGTTTGAGCCCAACATCGGCTCGCTGCTGTCTGGGCAGAGCCCACTTCCGATCCTCTGACCCCGTCTCTCTCTGCCCCTCCCCCACTCACATTTTATCTCTCTGTCTCTCTGTCTCTCAAATACACATTCAAAAAGAGAAACACTTAAAAAGTGGAGCTATATAATGCAGTTGTTTTTGTTGCTCCTGACAATATCATAAAACCACATTTTTATGTGTGTTTTTGTGTTCTCTGTAGTGATGTTTTTCTTATACAGTACTACTTAAATATGACATTTTCCAAGCCTATGCATAGACCATGCCAGCTGCCCCAAAAGACCAGACTGACATAATATGAGCTCTTTGTTTACTCAGTGAATAGGCACAACTTGTGCCCTGCCAGCTGCTTGGCCCACAGTCTTAACCTTGTTCTGTGAGAAACACCTGTATGAGTGGCTGGATAATTAATTCCATACTCCAGCCTTAGGATCTTCTGTTAAGATTAAATCAGATAAAGCCTCTGACTGTGAACAATATACCACTCTCTGGATTAGGTTTGGACCACTGAGGCCAGGTGGACATGGACTTCAAAAACACTACATTCAGAGGGAGTGTGGTTTATTGGGAGCTTCTTACATGAAGAGACTATTGAGGCAGAGAAACGTTTTAGTGCTACGCTCAGGATACCCGAGTGTGGGGTCTGGGAGTATTAGTATGTGAAGTGTTAGGACTGGGCAGAATTGCCCCTGCCTTACTCAATTCATTAGGGATAGTAAATTGCTCTAAGATTACAGCATGGAGGCAGATTACATTCCTTTTTCGGGGGCGGAGTGGGGGGTGATTCATTAAAGACATTTATCCGGAGAAATGGGCTTATTGACATTGAAAACTGAGACCAAGGTCACTTCAAGTTCTAGCAGGAGCATTAACAGTAATTTAAATATCGAAGACAAGGCTGTGACTCAATGCTGAGAGAGCCTTTTCTGTAAAGGTATGTGGACGTTTGCATGAACCTTAAGATGACTCATCTTCAGGACTCTTGGAAGCCACTTGTTGATATCTAATGCATAAGCCACTGGCAATTATCAGACAATATGTCACCTAAAACGCGGAAGCTCACGTTATTTCAATAAAGTCTTCCTTCTTTAATCGTTACAAAGAGTTTACATACGTGCTTTGCTTCTGGTTAAATAAAAACAATCACTTCCTCACCCCTGACGAAAAGTATACCTTATTTGAACCTGGGCCAGACATGTCCTCACCGGGGCAAGGGGGAAGAGGCAGTGTTGAGTTTTCCTAAACATTTCTGGTTCCCCATTGATAGAACCTGGAGATATTTATTTGGAACCTGTGTTTCTGCTGCCTGCAGTAATTGTTGCCCTCCTGGAAATGTAATTATGAGTGGGCCGTGACACCGAACTCTTCAAATTCATTCCACGTGACCTGATCTCAGTTATTCTCAAAACTTGGTCCAGGGCCTTCTTGGTCCATCACTTGTTCCCATTCGGTCAGTAGAGGTAGGAGTTAGAGGACAAGTGAAGTGACTTATGTGACCAAAAGTGAGGAAGCCGCTTTCCAAAGAGATTAGCTCCCTACCACAGAGAATTCTCTGTTTCTAAATTGTTTAAATTTGGTTTGCAAGGGATTATTTCATGATCCTGGTGCGCTTCCTGCATCTGTTTAGTCTTAAATGCTTCCTAAAACATTTTTCAAAATCCATGCGTGATTTTCTAATCCTCCCTAATACATGGACTACTTAAAATGCAACTCCTCTTATTCTTTTTTTTAATCCTAGCTTTGGAAACAAATGTGTGAGCCTTAAGAATGGATGAGAAAAATGAGAGAGAGCCATCGGAAGCATTGCTGGGTGATGGTGGTTCTCTTGTTCATGCACCTTACAGGAAATTTCAATTTCCAATAAGAAAAGTTCAGGCGTTGTCATCACAGCCTCTGTTTCTGTTGGTCAGGGGCGAAACAAATGCATTGCACTCCCTCTGCTGGCTCGGAAGCTGCAATCGCTCATTAACCAGATCTATATTTAGATGTAGTTCCCCATTAAAAAAAAAAATGGTGTGTAGAAGAAAGAAGCAAAACCTGGGACAGCTGCTAATTTTACTATTCATTTAAAATGTCAGGAAAAACAAATATCTGCCCAATGCAAATGGTTAAATGAGCAAGAAAGCCAGCAGTTTTTAGGCTTTTCGGCATTGTACTAGGAAAAAAATAAAGGCTGCCTCTTCCCTCCCCAAGGCGTATCTCCAACAGCCTTTAAAAATTACTCCGTTCTTTTCCAATACTGAAATGATCTTTTCCCAGAGCTCAATGAGCAAATTAATAGAATAGTATGTTTCATATGTTTGAAACACTCCAGAGAAAGCAAAGGCACGGATTTGGCTCTGGGTGAGGGGGAAGAGAAAGGGTGTCTTTCTCCTGGTGTCAGAAAGGAAAACTAAAAGATCATCACACTGAAAGTCTATACCTCAGGGGAGGCCACTTTCGTGCCTGAAGGCATGTTACCCACAAGCCTGGAAGGGAATCATAGCTCCGTGGAATTTTATGGCCCAGCAGACCTAAGACGGCATGGTTGTACTCATGAGTGAGGACAGCCTACCAGGAGAGCAAGACGTTCCAGATGTCAGGGCATCCTGGGGGCCTGAGCCCTGCTTCACTTAGGTTCAACAGCATATTGAGAGTTTTCCTGCAAGGCAGATCTTCTGGCCCGGTTTTGCCCTCTTTACCTTCTTGCTTGCTTTCTTCCCTAGGCGTCTGGATGCTAACCACATCAGCTACGTCCCCCCGAGCTGTTTCAGTGGCCTGCATTCCTTGAGGCACTTGTGGCTGGATGACAACGCCCTGACAGAAATCCCTGTCCAGGCTTTCAGAAGTTTATCAGCACTGCAGGCCATGACTTTGGCCTTGAACAAAATACACCACATACCAGACTATGCCTTTGGAAACCTCTCCAGCTTGGTAGTTCTGTAAGTTTATTGATTCCCCCCCCCCCCTTTATACTTTTTAACTTTGGCCTTCAAGTGCCAGTCTTTCAAACCTTGAATAGGGACATTTTCAGGGAGGAAAACCCCCTGAACCCCTCCCCAAAATGACTCACAAATGTTCTAATTGTATAAAAGAATTCAACAGCTTTTAGCAAGCACCTGCTAAGTGCCAAGCACTGCAAGGCAAAGATAAACTATTACCTGTGTCTTCGGGAAGCCGATGAATATTGTTCAGGCAATCCTCACGCTGTACAGTTAGTCCAGTGACTGAAGTTAATAAAAACTCCTTATTTCTGGTAATAGTTTATTATTCAGGTCAAACTGAAATATGCCTTTATTACTTAATATTTTTTGAACCCCTACCAGGGGGGAGAGAAGTAACAACAAACCATTGACAGAGAGCTGTGCGTTTGTGGGGCTTTCTTCCTGATGAGTCTACATTTCTTTAAATAAACCAAAATGATTCTCGAGTAAGTTTGAAAAATAATCAGTCTTCTTTAAGAGTGTAGTGATATATAAAAACATTAAAAAAATTTTTTTTAAAAACCGACTTCAGCTCAGGGCATGATCTCACAGTCTGTGAGTTTGAGCCCCGCCTCCGGCTCTGTGCTGACACCTCAGAGCCTGGAGCCTGCTTCAGATTTTGTGTCTCCCTCTCTCTCTGCCCCTCCCCTGCTCATGCTCTGTCTCTCTCTGTCTCAAAAATAAATAAAACCATTAAAAAAAATTTTTTTAAGAGTGTAGCGATATGCCCCCGGTAATATAATGGTCCCTCAAGGCAGCTGCTCAAAAGGCTGTAAGATCAGTGTGCTTAGGAACTGAAGAGGGCTTCTTCTGCCCTGTTTCTTCCCTTTGCTCCACACCCGCCCCCGGCCTGCCACTGCCTTCTATTATTCCAGTTTTCTTGATTACCCATCTCTCTTGTATTGTAGTACATCTTCCTTTGAGGGCTGGCCAGCTTCTTACCCCTTTCTGCATGTGTTGTATGTGGAAGATTGTCAGTAAATGTCACATGAAACCAACATATATTTATTAGAATAAAAATCTTAGTCTAAGAGGATAAGAAGTTTGGGGTGATATTAACAAATTTCTATACGGACTCTCACATATAAAGATGATGCTACCGACCCACCAGAGGCTGGGTATGTGCTTTAATTTTTTCCTCCCCCTGAGGGAATGGGTTTACAAGAGATCCACCCATTCTTTTTCACCCCATTCTCCTTAAGCCCATTTTCCAAAAATCCCTTTGGGACTTGGTCCAGTTTTCAGTTATGTACACAGCTGCTCTCACTGGCCCTGACTTAACTGACTTACCATTGAGCCAAAGATGATAATTGTACACACTAATACTGCGTCGAGATAACTAATCTCCCTGGGCAGCCAAAAAAAATCTGATCGCCATTCTCTGTGGCGAAAATTGTTGTTGCCTGTTAACCTGTGGCCCCACCCTGGGAATGTAGACGTTATAAGCCAGGAGCTTTGCTAGAAAATATGCTTCAAACGCTTCCTTCCATCCTTCATTTGCCAAAGATGGTCAGAATCTCTGCTTAACATCCTACATCCCAAAGCCGTGTTAACAACCTGAACTTCCTTTTATCAGCATGTTGCCCATAGTATTATACACTCCCTGATATCTCAAACCCAAAAGATAAAACTGTCATTGCCTATTAAATTCTCGGGTATATAATCATCTATGGTAAGAGCGGATGGGTCATATAGACCTTTTAAAAAAAACAACAAAGTTAAACAAAGCATTTCTTATATATAATTAGTGCGTTCTTTACTCTAAGTTTCTTTGGATTTAATCAATCTGAATGCTGTGCCTAAGTTTTCCTGTGCAGCATGCCTTCCTGACTGTGTCTGTAATGTTCTTCTGCAGGCATCTCCATAATAATAGAATTCACTCCCTGGGAAAGAAATGCTTTGATGGGCTCCACAGCCTAGAGACTTTGTGAGTTGACCTTTTATTTGTTTCCCTTTTTTCAGTGTTTTCATGAGTATTCTGAAGGAATCAAAATAGCCTTAAAGTCAAACTTGCTGTTTGGTTTGGTTAATTGCCTGAGCTTTAAACAGATATTTACGGCAGCTTTATCTTACACACACACACACACACACACACACACACACACACACACAGAGCTAAGCTATAAAACTGATATTTTATTTTAATCTAACAAGAGTGGTAAATGAGTTAGAATCATTATAAACTAAATGAGATGTTCTCTACCGAGCAGTGACTGTTTGCTTAGGAATGTGTACTCTGTGTCAAGTCACTCCGGCTCACTATTCATGAGTCTAGCCTGCACTGCCTGCTCCCCCACCCCACTGCCCCCAATGAGAGGACACCAACCAGGCAAATGCCAGGACTCTCTAATCTGAGATGAACAGGCGTCTCATTAACAAACCACAAAGGTTCACACTAAAGCAATTCAAAAAACTAAAAAATAATAACAGCTACCATTTCTTGGGCATATCTATAAACAAATATTGCACTGCGTGTTGGCAGACATTGTTTCATTTAACAGCCATCTGAGGAGAGCAGCCATCACTGTCCCACTTTCCGCTCTAGTCAGGTTAAGTTATTTTACGAACATGACATATCTAGTCAGTAGCATAGCTGGGATTTGCTTCTTCCCTAGTTTGAGTCTGAAGTCCATGCTTACCAGTATACACTGCTTCCAAAGAATAGGTCAAAAGTTCAGTTCTGAATTGGTACCTATAATAAAAATAGAGTCCAGCCAGCTGACCGCCAAGAGCCTTTCCCAGAGGCACGGTGAGAAGAATTCTCATTGACCTCACCAGGCTCCAGCCGTTTCCCAGGGGAAGAGCTGCTCCTCATTGCCCTAGCTGAGTGAGAGAGGTATAATGAGGGTAAGGTGACAGGCAGTGAGGGTCCTGAGTGTTCTGGAAGAAAGGGCATGCTTCCATTTGTGCCCCCTCTCACTCCCATATTTTTAATATTCAAATACAGTAAGTCACACAGGGCCTGAATCTACAATGTTGGCTCTGACCCAAGAGATACCAAAGACCATCTCTTCTATGGCCTTGGAGCCCATTATTTATTTGAATACAGAGCTTAGCATTCGTACATGGTCGGTTTAGCTTCGAACCAGGTCTGGGTCTGGTGATTTCCTGAGGGACCATCTGTTGTTAGTGGTCTTCTCCAGGTCAATGAGTGCTCACGCTCTCTTTCCAGGGTTACTTAAATCACCCTGTGCCTCCTCTTAGAAGAGAGGAACCATCCTCATAAGGAGATGCCAAAGATGAACTTATCCAGAACTTTGAAGTCAATTTCATGGCATAAGCAAGCCATTCCCATGAGCTGCTTGGTAAAATTAGAACTTCTCCCTTATCCACACAGGGCTGGGCATGATATCTTAGCAATGCAAAGCACCTTCCAGTCCTTTCCAACAGAGGAGGAACAAAAAACAGTATTGGCTTTGAAGGGTGTTTCCATAAATAGTGTCTCCTTTTTGTTCCCCCCACGTTTGAGATGAAGACCTTGGATTTCATGTAAAGAGTAAAGCATTTCTGGGCAAATTCATATGAGTCTCATTCTCCCCCTCCCCTCCCCTCCCCTCCCCTTGCCCAGGGCTACAGAGGATCAGTAAATTGGTTACTCTCAACCTCTTCCTTTCCCTCACTAGAAACCCAAGTAATTTATAAGGACCCAGTCCTCGTTTAATCAAAACAGAGCATCTGGAGAGATTTACAAACAGGAAGAAAATTTATGTCCACAAAAGACACCAGTTTCCTGCCTGCAGTATAGCTTAAGGATGGTTTGTGCCAGACAAGTAGGAATCCTGATTCATGTTTAACTCGGTCAAATTATCTCTCTTAAAATTAAAAAGCAATTCTTCTCCATAGAGGAAGATCTAACCACATCTGATTGCCTGACCAAAAGGTTTTTCTGCGTCATCTGGGAAATCTGACATTCCCAGAGACTAGGAGGCAATTACTTTTTCATACGAAGTTGTAGACATAAGGTGGAGTAAGTCTATAAAGCGCTTGTGAGTAATGGAATTGAAAAGCCATTTGTGTCATAACAGATCGAGAAATTAATGTTTCAAAATTGTTTGGCCATTCCATCTCTGTGCCTGAAGGATAACATAGAGCTCTGCCTCACAGACCAGGAAAATATACTTCTGATCTGAATCATTATTTGTGACCCTGAAGAAACTCTAGACCCGATGCCCTTCCTGAGAGTACCCAGTACCACATAAACCTCTCCAGAAGCAGGCTATCATCCTGGACCTCAGCCTGGGAGAGACACATGGACTCATCAGGAGTCAGGGACAAAGCAGCTCTCCAAGATGCCCTCTCAGGCGAGACTCTGAAACGCAGGGGGGTAGGTCAGAGGGTGTAGGTGGGAACAAGAAAGGAGATGTGATTCAGGAGCTAGGACGAGAGCACACACAAGCGGGCAGCTTGGTGAGCCGGGTTCAGGTGAACGGCTACATCAGCAAGCAGCCAACACCTGGCGAAACGTCCCTCTTACTTGAACGTTAACACTGTCATCTGTCCCTCCCTTTTTTTAAATGCCTCTGTGCCACTGAGACTTGACTCTGAAATGTCTCATGATCAGTGTGATGACCAATTTTAATGCACATACTGGTCAGCAAGCCAAGAAAATCTCTTTCCATAAAGAGAAGGAATGAGAATTTTTATCAGTGATCCTGCCCCATTGGACGGCATGTTAACTTTCTCTGTATAAGTAGTATATTCGAATTTTTAAATGAGAAACTGAAAATACTATTTACTTATTTTCAGAGATTTAAATTATAATAATCTTGATGAATTTCCCACTGCCATCAGGACACTCTCCAACCTTAAAGAACTGTAAGTATTTAGGACAGATTTAATGGGAGAATTCTATTCTTTGTGAATTCACTTTAAAATATGTTTGATTATTGTACATAGGGTGACTGACTAGAAGATTTTTAAAAGTTTGTATAGGGGCACCTAGGTGGCTCAGTTAGTTAAGCATCTGGCTCTTGATATCAGCTCAGGTAGTGATCTTGCAGTCTTGAGATCAAGCCCCAAGTTGGGCTCCATGCTGAGTGTGGAGCCTGCTTGGGATTTTCTCTCTCCCTCTCTCTTTCTGCCCCTCCCCCACTCTCTCTCTCTCTCTCTCTCTCTCTCTCAAAATAAATAAATAAACATTTAAACAAATAATGTATAAATAATGGTTAAGTAAACCTGTAATATATTTTAATTTATTCTATCATTAGATAGTCTTTTTTAAATTTATAATGGATTTCTCTAATATGTGTATATTAAAAAATATATACATAGTTCTCTAAATCATACTCTTTTCCTAAGCTATATTTCCCCAACATTTATATACTTCATAGATTTATAGAAAATTGCTATGGAATTCAATTATTTGCCAAGCATTTTGAAAAACTTACTTCTCTAGGCTGCATAAGTCTAGGACTAGAGAAATCAAATGCATGTGCCTAGTACTATGCTAGATGCTTTCACATACATTATTTCATATTCTTTAAATACTCTGTGAGTCATATTTAATTTTTAAAAACCTACAATTTTACTAAGGTAAAGCTAACTTTCAGCTCCTAGGTTGCATATATTGTCTTTTATATACTAAAATTTAATTGCCTTTTCTTTGTACCTAAAAATATGAATAATGTATGAAAGGAATGTTCCAATATTTGGAAAGAAAAATAAACATAGAGCCTATCCTCTTGGCTGAGAGAAATAAGACACACAGCTAAAGGAGGCAGACAACAGGGCTTGTTTGTAAGAAAAAGCCTTTAGGAGGGGGTTCTCCCTCAGGAACCCCACGTGTGGCTGTACCGGGAAGTCATCGTGGTCTCTGCTTAGGCAACCCAAAGACTGTCACTCACCTAACCAGCCATCGGCCCACATGAGACCCAGAGATCATTGACTCTGCCCCTCTGCCATTCAGACAACATTAGCACCGACAGAGGAGAGTCAATTTGTTATTACACACTCACTGAGCACCTTCCCTCAGCTCAGGAAATTTTGCCCTCATAAGGAGATTACTTAAATCTCTGCTTCACAGCAGCTTAAGTCAATTTTCTCTTCTCCTAGCTTCAAATGGGGTCAGAAGGAGTGATCATAATCCCCTCTCCAAAGATGGTTCCCTCTCTCTCAAGTTGTTATACAATGGTGCTCTATTGGATATTAACAGATGGAATTTCTTTTTATAACATTAGATTGTAAGTTTCCATAAAGCACAACTATTATTTTCAGATTCTTTATTCCTCTTTCAAGATAAGAGTTCGTGATTTCTTTTTCTCCTAGAGAGCACATAAGCTTCAAAATGCATAGAGGAATTTAACTGTATCCTCTAGTTACCAAAGAGGTTGATTATTGCCACAGGAAGGGGGGGGGGGGTTACCATTACATAATTTTACCCTACACGTTATTTTCTAAAAAAAAATTTTCCTCTCTTTCTAGAGGATTTCACAGCAACAATATCAAGTCAATACCTGAGAAAGCATTTGTAGGCAATCCTTCTCTTATTACAATGTAAGTGGCCATAGTTCTTTTTGATTTTTCCATCCTGAAATATAATACATAATGCACTGTTAAATATAATACAATGAGTGTCCTATATTTTCCCAAGTTTGGTCTTTGTCAGTGTAAGAATCTATACAGAGAAGTGTATGGAGAGATGTTTTGTCAGGTTTTAGCTGAATGCTAAAATAACATCAAAGATTCTTTTTTTCTATACCTTACAAGTGTGCATTGCATTATGCTTCGTATCTTCAGATGCCTTGTCTCACTTCACAAAAATCTTGTGAAATAGTTTTGCTTATCTCTATTTTCTAAGGAATAAAACTCATTTTCAGAGTATCAATGTCAAGGTCACCTAGTCATTCAGAACTTAAATCCAAGTATACTCGAAATATAAATTATCACATACAAATGGGAGTCCTTTACAGCAATAGACTCCATTGATGGTGGGGGTTTGGGGCATACTGGCTTATGCTAGGTTTCTATATCGATTTGTCACCAAGCCCAAGCATTGAGTCACATTTATAGAATTACAAGCTAGGTTGTAATTCTAGAAAGATGTGTATATTCTTAAAAGGTGTATTGGGGATTTATATGCCATCAAAGCATAAAATAGAGTTACAACTACAGCGTATAATTAATTGGTTATATGTTCACATTTTAGCAGAGACAGAAAACTGATCATCTGTAGACATACAGGAAGATGAAAATAGGCATTAGGATTGTTCTTTGTTAAAGACCCCTGGCAGATTTGGGGCGTAGTACTGGCCTGAGGTCTGCAGGAGGGGTCTTGGATATGCAGGAGGAGAGTAAGGACAACTGTTGAACCTGACTCTAGGGGCATTTCTTGGTAGATATTCATCCTGTGCCAACTTAAGAGGCTTTTTGGAACCGGGTAGCATCTGTCACCAATGAGCTGGAATCCCAATTAGCCCTGACAACTGAAAAAAAAAAAAAAAAAATACCATTCATCGTTTCTGAAATATGTTGACAGTATGTTGGCAAACTAAGGGTTTTAAAGTCTATTGCCAATAAACATTAAGCCTCATTAGAGAGTATTTACATATTAAGAGTTGGCAAATTGCATTGCCTTTGCTTCTTTTTCCTTGCAGCCACAAGCCTGCGTTTGTTTTTTTAATCGCTCTTTTGATATGCTAATACCACTTGAGAAAGGACTTGAAGCCCCCAAAATTTATTAGTGCTTCTATCCAGTATTTTATGGTATTCACTGTTTTCTCCCTGAAACTCTCCTCTCCTTGCTTCTGCCTCTATCTCTTGCCACTGCCACCCCATCAAAGATCCCCAGCTCCCACTCTGTGTGAACACTTCCCTTGTCCCATTGGCTACCCAGTCCCCATGTCTACCTCTATGGTCCCCGTCCTCCGTGTGACTTCTTTTCATGCCCACTGCCCCCAGCCTCTGCCAGCCACCACCTCGACATTCTTGCCACCCTCCCTGCCTCTACCGCTAACAGACCTGTCACCCTGAAGCGCAGCATCCGTCACTCTCTTGCTGTGAAACATACGGAGATTCAGGATTGTCTATCATGAGTCTCCTGACCAGCTCCCCAAAGCTCTCCTCAATTACCATATGCCATAACCCAGATGGACTAAGCTATCCTCATAGAACAAAACTCTTTATTTCCTTTGCTCCTATGATTCCATCCCCTCACAATGCTTATTGAAATTCTGTCTTCCTGGGCCCATTTCCAATGATATTCCATTAAGTTTTTCTTGATCTCACAAGAAAACTCCCTCCTAAGAACCCTTTAACTCCTTATTTGTATTTGTGATACTTAGGTACACAAGCATGTGTATTCATATCTGCCCAGGATACATACATACACACGTGTGAACACAATTACATACATACAAGCATATCGTCTAGATAAGGGACAGTGTAATATTATGATGAAAACTCCATTTTTAATCATAAGACCTTCCAGCTCTAGCTCTTTCTCTTACCGATTGTCTAACCCAACAGAAAAAGTTGGAGGGTAAGAGGACAGAAGGGGACTTAGGTTGGTTGGGTGACAATTCTATCCCAGGTACTATACCAGATGTCACACAAGCATTAGCTCTTTCAATTTTTACACAAACCCTACAACTAAGATTTATTATTCCAGCTTAACAAATTAGGAAAGTAAAGCTCTGGGAAGTAATGTACTTGCCAAAGTATCTGAGCTTTAGTTTCCTCCTCCAAAAATGAGATAAATAATATCTAAGTATCTGTGCTATGGATCTCATAAAGCTGTTGAGTAGACCAACTGAGCTATACATGTGAAAGTACTTTATCAACCAGGACGTGGGATGCTGCTACTTATTTGTTCTGTCCCAACTGATTCCAAGCTTCTTTAGGGCAGGGACATTTTACCCATCTGCAAACTCCCAGAATCTAGCGTAATGTCAAGCACATAGTAGATACTTAATTACGGCTTCCCTAATGAATCAGTCTCTAAATTCCCACAGTACCGACCCTCATACTTTGAGCACAGTAGACACCAATAAATATTAGTTGAATTTCATTGAAGTAGGATGTGTCAACTGAGAACTTTTTGTAGGGCTCCATTGACCAGACAATTCAAATACCATTACATTGAAAACATCTGTAGGACAGCCTGGGTGGCTCGGTTGGTTCAGTGTCTGACTCTTGATTTTGGCTCAGGTCATGATCTCACAGTTCATGGGATCAAGCCCCACGTCAGGCTCTGTGCTGACAGCGCGGAGCTTGCTTGGGGTTTTCTCTCTCCCTCTCTCTCTGCACCTTCCCCACTCATGCTCTTTTCTCTCTCCCAAAATAAATAAGTAAACATTTTTTTTAATCTGTAAAACAAAATATCATTTAAGTTCTAATAATGTCTTACCTTTAAAAGCAGTCATGACTTTTTTTTAAAAACTAAATGTCACCAAAAAAAGCAGAGTAGCAAATTTTCTCTCAAATAATTTGAGGAGTCCTTCTTGTATGTTATGATAAGATTTGACTAACTTTCATATAAATATATGTACTGCACCTTTGTTTATTTAATGATATGACTGGCAACTCCTTGAATTACCTTCTTGCCACTTGATGAATGGTCCACGGATGTTGGAGGAAGAGGAAGATTTTTAAGTATACCTATAGTCTGCTCACTTGCTTTTCTCCTTAGTAACTATCACTCATGTCTACCTTATTATCAGAAATTTTCATTTTTATATAGTATGGATTTCTTACCCAAAGCCTCCTCATGTGAGTTAAAACATTTTTGAGGTTTGCCTGATACCAAGTAATTGGGATGTTATACAATATAGTATAATCACGGTTACACACACTTAATATATTCCCTGAAATTTTGAACAGGTATTCATTTGTCATTCAACTTTTATACTAAGACATTGGTGTTTGGATTTTTTTCAGACATTTCTATGACAACCCCATTCAGCTTGTTGGACGATCGGCTTTTCAACATTTACCTGAACTAAGAACACTGTAAGTTTTTCTCTTGCAGATCACTTTCCCTTGTAGGGTTGTTGTAAAAACCACATGCATATTTTAAGTTAAAGTGCTTTGAAAATGGCACTAAAATTACCCCTTTCTGGAAACTTCTTTTGATAGTACTCATGTATCCCTCCTTCTAGGACTTTGAATGGTGCCTCACAAATAACTGAATTTCCTGATTTAACTGGAACTGCGAGCCTGGAGAGTTTGTAAGTACTCGAATAGGCTCTTGACTTGGCCCAGCACACACACTGCTTGAAGCCTGACCAGTCTTAAAGTCAGTGAATAAAAATATGTCACTGTGCAATGCCTGAATAAAAGAATTATGTCTGGTTTGTGTTTCAACAGGACTTTAACTGGAGCACAGATCTCATCTCTTCCTCAAACCGCCTGCGATCAGTTACCTAATCTGCAAGTGCTGTGCGTATCAGGAAGGCAGTAACATTGTGTAAACAGGCAACTTCCATCTAGGAGCAAAATGGCAGGCGTTATTTCAATAATGCTTTAAAAGGGGAGAAAGTTCTTTCCTTGCAGGGCTCCATCAGGTCGGTCCTCCCTCGCCCCCGTGGGGGGTTAGGGAATTGACTCTCTCATGTGACCCCGGTAATGGTGGCGGCACACCCTTTGTTCCCAAGTTCCATCCAGTCTCCCATTAGAGTTTCAACTGGCACACGTTTCCTGTCAGAAAATGGATATGAACAAGCCTAGATAACTTAATTTCCCCTTCTTTGCAGAGCAGAAAAAAATTACCTAATGGATTAAAAACCCAATATGGATGCCAAAATAAAAAATTAAGTTATCAGACCCATACAAACCTTGATAAAGGTGACCAAACATTCTTCCGGTATAGTTGTGGGTGCCATGTTCTAGTGTTTCCACTAATAGTTAAACAGCTTGCATATATTATTTCTGTTGACTTGGGTTGTTGGGTTTTTTTCCTCTGCCTTTCCCTTTCTGAATAGTAGTTTATAGGAATTTGAAGAGCTTTGTTTTGACCTTCCATTTTCAGCCCTTCCCCTCAACTCCCAACCCTATTACCATCCTCTCATGCATTGTGGGGACTTAATGAATGGACCCTTAGTCTCCAGTCATGGCTGTGTTCTCACAGAGGAGACATCTGTGTCAGTTGAATGCCTCTAATTCCACCACAGGCTTCACCCAGTAGCAGAGCTACAAGCAGCACTACAAATGTAAGGGGAAGAATGGGAATGTCTGCCATAATGATTCTGCCTTCCCCTCTCCCCAGCCCCCTAGCCACTTCAGACTTCAGTTGTTCAGTGATAGGAGGTTGTAGTAACACCACGTGACAGCCTTGGAGTCAGTCATTTGTGTGTAAAGGGAGGAACATAGAGTAAGTCTCCTCCTCTTCTCCCACATCGCCCTCTGAGGCGTAGATACAGATGAGGAAGCTGACAATTAGGACAGTTAAGCACATTTGTCAAAGTCACACAGCAAGAAAGTAGCAGTGTCCAAATTCAAATACAGGCAGTTTGATTGAATAGCTGGTGAAAGTGCATGAATACCAGGAGAAAGTGCATGAACACCAGGTAGTGGAAATCTTAGGGGCCATTTTAGAATTCTGCCTACCCACCCAAAATGGCATAATTACCCTCATTTCTCAAGGAAACTGGCTTAATAACATGACTAAGATTTCACAGGCTATAGCTAATACTTAAGGAGCCAGCATTTAAACTGCATCTGTCTCCACGATGTCACATAGCAAATGGTAAACCACCCAGGTCTAGAATTGCATAAATTGGCTAAGAGCAAAGTCCCTGGTCTGTTTTTCTGGTTCAAATCCCATCTCTCTATACACCAGCAAGAGATCTTGAGCAAGTTATTTATCCCTTCTGGGGTTCCATTTCCCAATCTATAAAATAGAGACATAGCCATTTCCTTCAGAGGATCATCATGAGGATTAAATGAATTACTACATGTCAGACACTTATACCAGCACTGGAACATCGTAAACTCTCAGGCAGTGTTAGCTCTTATCAACTTCTTTTTCATTTCCCTTAAACCATTATTCTTTCTTCAAGCTATTCTTTCCTCAAGCTGAAACTTGAAAGGTCTGAAAGAATCCAAATCCATTAACCACAGAAGCTTGCCATTTTCAAAGCACTTCAACCCGTAATTTTGATTTGTTCTTCACAACACTGCAAGATCAGCAGGTATCTTCTCATTTAAGGAGAGAACTAAAAAAGGTATAATGCTTTGACCAACATATTGACCAAGTTGAAGAATCCAAGTTGAGGCTGAGAATAGGACTCAGGGTCCTGACCTCTACTACAGTCTACTTTATGTTCTGGAAACATAGGTCTGCGAGCTTCCACCCTTTGGCTGAATCATCCACTGAGTACCTGTACATGAAGAAACTGCCCCCAAGTTGCCTCACCTCCATGGGAATTCCCTGGCTGTGTGTGGCTTTCCCCACTAAGTAGCTGGTGATCTTAGGCAAATTATTTCACATTGTATGGTGATAATCAGTGTCTCCCTCATAAGGTGACCACAGGTCAAATGAAGTAATTTAGGTAAAGCTGTAAACATGGTGTCTATATTTAAGAAGTGCTTCATCAATGTTAGCCATGAAAATCATTAGGTAGAAGGTAGGTAGAAGGTGACACTGGGTCTTTACGTGGGAGAAGGTTTTATGTATCCTCTACTAAGAGGTGCACAGGAAGGATTTGTCTCCTTGCAGTGTGTGGAGATGAGCGAACCAAATTTATCAGCTCTGATGATATGTATGTCCATTTTATCACATTTACTACTTTTTAAAAATATACACCGAATTTTTAACCAGGTGTATTTGTGCGTAGGTGTGGGGTATGGTTTTGGGTTTTTTCATATTTTGTTTGGTTTACTTTGGTCTTTCAAGCCTCTAGTATAAACTACAAACTTGTGTTTGCAAACAGCTTCATTTGCATTATTTGTGTGTGGTAACTGAACTGTATTTCTATATGAATTCCATTTATTCACTAAATGTAGAAAAAAGTGATCAATTACAAGAACAAGATAATTTAAAAGCCTCTTAGAAAACAGTATGGATTTTTCAGTTCCATGGTGGCGATCTGGTTTTAAGAATTAGAATCAGGCATGAAAGTGTGTTAGTTGATTAGCCGATAACTTTTAAAACATGAGACAAGATTTTTTTTAAATATCTATGTTACTTTATCTACCAGCTTTCTTTTTTTAAGCTTTCTGCAAATTACCATGTCTTGTTTTAGATTAGTTATATTATACTATAAATATGTCCAGATGTTTTTGTTATTCTGTAATTTGTTGAGTTTTGGCTGAAGACTTTCTTAGATTTTTTTTCCCCCTTGTAGTGATTGATTTCAAAGTTAGTGCTATGTTTTGACTTGTTGTTGGATTTTTTTTTAGCTGATTAGAAAAGAACCAACAATGATTCTCTTAGCTGTAGAGATATAGCAGCTCCTAGAAAGAGAGACACAATTATTTAATTTAATTTGGACTCATTTCTGCAAGATAATAGCTGGAACATTGTAGATCATCACTGACAAAATATAAATAAATTTGTTAAATAAATTATTTAAATCAATTAAAGAAGTACAACAGCCACATTTCAGTAAACGTTTGGATCTATGCTTAATCCAATAATGCCTCTGACTACCTGCTCCATGTCAGGGCTGGGGAAACGTTCAGAGTCTGCCTTTGGGAGATATATCATCTTGGAGAGGAAAGGACAGCAAAGCATGTTTCCTTAAGATTAATATATAACAGATTTTCCCTTTTGTACCTTCTGTTTTTCAGAGATCTATCTTACAACCTGCTGGAAGATTTACCCAGTTTTTCAGTCTGCCAAAAGCTTCAGAAAATGTACGTCTATAAGAGTTTCTAAGTCACTTAGCAAAGAACAAGAGCCAAAACTCACTTTTCCAGGGATCCTTGGTTTGCTTGCCCTGCAGGTTGCTGGGGAGGCATTTGGTGCTTTTCCCTTCTTATACACACAAGGTGTGACTGTGTAGGATGCCTATTAAGTTGGGAAACACAGATAATATTATTTTTCTATGCATTGTACTGTAAGTAAAGCATTTATTATGCTTTTTTTCTTTCTTCCCCCAAACTTGGTGATATAAGAACTGAGTTTATTTGAGCTTTGGAATTTTTCTAAACTTATATATCCAATGAGTGACATTACTTTTAAATACAGGAAGGACTTGGGTTTGTTGGGGTGTTGGTTCCACATAGTCATCCTTAGAGGAGGTGCCCTATTTGTCTGTCATATTTGAGGTGCCATGGATGCTACTTACACATGAAACATGCTAACCTTCTTGCCTCCTCTACAAAGGATCAGCCTTATTGCTTTTTTTCATGTTTATTTATTTATTTTTTTGAGAGAGGGAGAAAGTGCACGCAGAGTCAGAGAGGGGCAGAGAGAGGGAGAGAGAAAGTCTCGAGCAGGCTCTGCGCTGTCAGCCAGAGCCCCATGAGGAGCTTGTTCTCAGGACTGGGAGATCATGACCTGAGTCCAAACCAAGAGTTGGATGCTTAACCGACTGAGCCACCCGGGTGCCCCAGCATTATTGCTTTATAGACATACTTCGGTTTTGATCAAAACAATATTAACCATCTGGGGTGCCTGGGTGCTCATGGTTTCCACTCAGGTCATGATCTCATGGTTTTTGTGTGACGGAGCCCCCGTCGGGCTCTGTGCTGACAGTGACAGCCCTGCTTGGGATTCTCTCTCTCTTCTTTCTTTCCCTCTCTCTCTGCCCCTCCCCCACCCTCTCAGTCTTTCTCAAAATAAGTAAATAAACTTTAAAAAAAAAACAATACTAACCATCGGTCTTTTCCCACTTAATTTTTCCCTGAATGCCTTTGGGTGATTAAGAGAGAAAAAGAAAGACAAATCCGTCTTTAAAAGGTAAGGATTTGACTCTCTTGAAGACCCCCAAAGAATACTAGAATGTCTCACAAGGCAGAGCCAGCAGGCGCCAAGTGATTGAATGATGATGGCATTTGGAATATAGTTTTACATCCACCCGAAAGAACTCGTTGCTCTGAAAGAGCGGCAACGCTTAAGTGTATAAATTGGAATGTTCTTCTTTAAACAAAACAAAAAATTTTTAATCAGTCACTTGACACTCATATTTCATGTGTTCCTTTGATTGAGGGCAGGTAATCCTTCTGTAGAAGTACTCCGAAAACTAATCTTTGAAACCAGTGACTTTGAAATCAATCTTTGGAACTCTGTCGTTTCAGAGACCTGCGACATAATGAAATCTTTGAAATTAGAGTTGACACTTTCCAGCAGTTGCTCAGCCTCCGAGCTCTGTGAGTACTGCCTGCCGGCGCCTTTCCCAATACAGAGCGCTTTCTTTCTCTTTCGGGTCTTCCCCAATGTTTTCTTTCCACTGTACACTGGAATTGTTGGGCTTTCGTGCCTGTATTTGCCATCAAAGGGCAAGTATCCTGCTCGTGATAATTTCCAGGAATATATTCAATAGTAGTAAATTTGCAGTCTGCTCTCTGATATGAAACTTGAATGAAGAGGAAGGAGGCCAAGCTGTTGAATCACCTACGAAATGCATTTCTGTCAGCAGCCTGGAATTGGTAGGGATTTCCACACGGAAATGGGATGACCACACAATACTTCCTGCCCATTCGTTTTTCCTGGGGAAACAGTTTTCAAGATGTGTCTCAAAGTGCTTAAGAGCCGTCATGGGGCCACCGCCAAGAATGCAGGTTCCAGGTCCTTACCTGCCTCATGAGTTAGAATCTCTGAGGTGGTTCAGGTGGGTCCCGATGATCTGCTTTTTAACAAGTACCCTAAGGTTTGAGCACAACTGCCCTGGAAAGGCTTCTGTTGATCAGATGAGTAAGAATTGTAAATACAGTATCTAATTCCATTTTATGAATGAAAACACCATGTATTAACCATAAACTTAAAAAAGAAAACCTTGGTAACAGATTGTTTTCTGTGTCAGCTAAGTCTTTTTCACCTCCAAACTGAGTTTCAATGTAGTTTTGATGAATAATGACAATATAGAATGTTTAAACTCTGGTATATTTTGATAAAACCCCCTTTTTCCCTAAGGTTTTTCTTTTTTCTTTTTTTTTTTAATGTTTATTTTTGAGAGAGAGAAAGAGAGAGAGAGTCAGAGCATGAGTGGGGGAGGGGCAGAAAGATTGGGAGACAGAATCTAAAGCAGGCTCCAGTCTCCGAGCTGTCAGCACAGATGTGGGGCTTGAACTCAGGAGCCATGAGATCATGACCTGAGCCAAAGTCGGAGGCTTAACCGACTGAGCCACCCAGGCACCCCCTAAAGTGTTTCTGAATACTTAAGAGACTATATCCTTGTAAAATAATACTATTCCTCAAAACATTTTAAATTTACCTTTAAGAATCATCTTCTAAAAATTTACCTTGAAAACTATCTCGTTCTGAATTTAAGTATGTTGCCCTTCCCATTTGTTTTATATCAGCTTGTGAAGTTCTTCTACTTTTTTTTAAATAAATGTAAAACAAAAAATACATTACCTCCTTTCATTACCTGCCTTTTTCATCCAGTTGGAGTTCTAGCTGTTTCCAAAGGTCAGTTCCATTTTAAAAGGCTGAAACAGTTGATAACACTCTATTATGTCATTGGATTTGCTAATAGAGTAGAACTTAAATGTTCTCATCAAAAAAAAATTTTTTTTTTCATATGCACATGAAATAGAAGACTGATCTCTAATGATAGCAAAAGAATGGGATCCTGAAGGCTACATGTATGAGTGTCGCTGAATTCTTCCAGCCCCTTAGACCTCACATCCATCACTCACCCAACTCTGCCAACTCCAGTTCAGCTGCTCTTCTGCCACTGGCCCATCATTGGTCTCCACTCATCCATCCGATTATTTAAAGAGAATCTTTCTCAAACAGAAGTCTAATCATGGTACTTTCCCTGCTTCAAGAATCTTTTTAGTCCCCTATTGTCTTCAAATCCACACCAGACTTCCCAGCACCACTTTCAAAATCTGACTCCAACCTCCTGACTCTTACCCAGGCATTCCAGTCCCCTGACACATGGTGGCCATTTCCCCTATTCCTGTTGCCCATCAGATTCCTCTCCACCCTTGACTCACCCCCTGCCCATGCCACAAGAACAAGATCTGCGAGCCCACTCCACTCTGATGCACTTTGCACATTCTCTGCTACGGGACTCAACACTCAGCTCTGCCACGGGTAGACTATGCCCTGGCCCCCAATGACAAGAACTCTTTTATCTTCTTATCCCCAGGTGCAGGTGCAGTGGCTCTCATTATTTACTTAAGAATTCCAAACATATTCCGAGTGAAACATCATCAGGTTCTCTGATGTCAGTTAGCTTGAGTTTGAATCCCAGCTCCTGAGATTATTCTGTGACTTTGAGCAAGTCACTTAATACTCTGTGCCTCTCTTCACACCAGTAAAATGGGGCTAATGACAATACCTACCTCTTAGAGTTGTGTTAAGGGTTATGAGACAATACGTGTGAAAAAACAACTCATAACCCAACCTGGCACATGGTAAATATGCAATAGTGTCATGATGATGTTTGTTGTTATCATTATTACAACAAGTATATATCCTCTTAAGATGTATCAGTAAGGGTCTTGGCAGGAAATGGTGCAAATGAAGAGACACTTGCATAGGTGTTGGTGGGGAGTAAGCAAGGGATGGGCTTTCGGGAACCAACAACATGGCCAAGACTGAGGCTAACGGAACACAGGCACAGAGAAGGGATGCTGTGGTTGAGAAACGTGCAGCTGCCACCAGACAAGATTCCAAAACAGAGAAGGAGCACAGGTGCCCAAGTTGTCTCTCCTGGGCTTCTGACTGCATAGAGTAGGGAGCCCCTGGGCACGTGGCCTGCAGGGTCAGCCCCAGGCACAGAACAGGGTAGGAGAGTGGAAGTGGCTCCTCCCGGGGCTGCTGCGAACATTCCAGCACACAGACATACCAACACAAGTGGAATTACAGTCCTTTGAACATACAAATTCTCCCATATTTGTTTTAAATCCAAATTGCTATAAAGCCCCATGGCAGGACTTGGCCTACATTCCTGATAATTCCTCTCTGTGAAGCTCCCTGGGCACCCATGTTCTACTCACAGCCACCAGAGACTTTGACAGATGGCATGACTTGCTTCCCTCACCGGACATAAGTTTTATGAGCAGCTCAGGAGAAGACTGTGTCCTCACTCAATTACCCAACCCCCAAATGTGGCTCCTCCACTCCTTCCCTACCATATTCTCCCCTTGTTAGCCAAAATTTTTTTCTGTTCTGGCAGCAGGAATGGATCAAAATAAAAAGCCTTCCAGTTTCACCCTGTTTAGGGAGAATTTCAAAGGAATATAAATGTTCTTCAAATACCATTTATCCAAGATAATTCAAGAGGCACAGTACCATAAATAAATCACTCATTTGTGCTAGAGAAGTTGACAGTGATCACTTTCAGTTTCCTCAAATGTCTATACTTTAGTTATACTTATTAGTTAGTCATTTTAAAAATACAAGTTTTAAGTTCATTGTTTCTTTTTTGAAATGTGGAAGTTCTTATTCCTGCTGAATCACCTACATTTCAGTGTGTATGCGTGTGCATGTGTGTATCTGTTTAGTGAATTTTATTTCTCCATAAATTGTAGGTTTTCTGTTATCAAAGGATTTTATTTCCAACATATTAGCACCCTTTTATATTTATTTTGAGCTAAGAATTTAAATGTACATCTCCTTTACTGGGAATTTATTTATTTTTAAATGTCTATTTATTTTTGAGAGAGAGAGAGAGAGAGAG